AAAATTTCTGACTGAAAAGTTTGCATAGTGAGCCAGTATAAGCTGTCAATTTATACCACCTTTCTATTTCACTATTAAGAACAAAAACATTTTCTTCATTTCTGCTACTTAAAACTTCTGGCTCCTGCAGACCTCTCCTCAAGCTCACTGTGGTAAACAGAATCTTTGCTCCCATGTCTCTGTTTGGAGATGGCTTTAACGCTCTGTACCATTGTTTGGTTGCATCCTAACCAGTCATTCATTGCCATGAACTTTGCCCCAGAGCCTGAGCCATATGTCCTTACCCCTGACTTCTCAACTTTAGTGACACAGAGGACAATTCCTAGCACACTTGCAAAGAGGGGACACCAGTGAGAAGAGGTCAGCAGTGGTAAGGTTGGATGAGTGAAATAATTTTTATTTCCTTACTTTGTTTTCCTTTGCCAAAGTGATGAACTTTTAAATACTCTTTTCTTCTTTGCCTAATATACTGAAAGTCTCAAAAAAGCATCATCCATAAAAATAAGGAAATATTTGGAAAAACATGAAGATGAATACCTCCTGAGAAGCTCACTAAAGGGAATTTATTTCAATCATTGACAAATAATTTGTAAATAAGGTGAGACTATGGCTTTCAGATCCTAAAATGCACATGTATAGGATCAATCAACAAAAGCAGAATATTATTGAAAACTTGCACAACATACTTACTGTTGCTGTTTTTTGTTTGTTTTTTAAATTGAGTCAAGGTTCAGATATAAGTTTATCTCAAGTGGGCTTCAAGGTAAGTAGGACACTTCAATTAACAAAAGAGTCATTGTGAACCTAAAGGAAGCCTAGACAACTTTAAATTTAAAAAAAATTGATCATGTATGTTACTCCTCTATGGGATATATGGATGTCTCATATCACTGTAGAATCTCTGAGGAGGTTAAATTTTCAAAAAAATAAAAAAATAAAAATAATTCTAAAATTCAGGTCTTTCAATAAGTTTGTCTTTTAGTAGTTCCAAAATACATTTTGCCTAAGTATGCTGTGCTCTTTAAATATATATAAGTAATTCATCTTTCAGGAAGCTCAGCCAGGGAGAGAGACTGGGAGCCAATGTCAAGGGCAAGCAGCCTCCCCCTCATTCCCCAGACGCTTTTCATTCCCCAGACACTGGGTGTCAGGAGACTTCACAAGGTTCAACTGGCCCACAGGAGCTTCTTTCTCACCTCCATTCATTCAGATTTTAAATGGATTCAGTTTCCTGACATACCTCCTTTAGTTTATTATGCCATCAGCTATTATTTATTGGGTCCTTAATACATGCCAGGAAATACTTAAATATTTCAACTGTATTAGGGCTTTGAATTTCATTCTAAAAAAAGCAACCTTCTGATATGATATGTGTAATTCTCTCCATTTTATAGATGTGGTAGCTAATTTTTAAAAAGATGAAAGTGCTTGCCCATAACAGAAAGTGGAAACAACTGGAGTTTGAATCATCTGGCTGATTTCATATCCAATGCCCTCGATTACTGACTGCAGTGTGTGATTCAGTATGGGATACAGGAGACGGTTCCGTCTTCAGATGCAGAACACTTAGAAATCCTCAGTTTGAGTTATGTTTAACAACCCCTTTAATCATATCCTCAGCTTTTATTTCTCCAATTGTAAAATGAGGTTAGTGATAACTGTCCTCTTTAGCCCACAGAAAATTCACTTAGAATGAAGTTTTAAATGGAAATGTTTTTATAAACTATAAAGGTCATTGCTAATGTATATTACATTAAAATTCATACTTGTATATATTTGATACATGTGCATGTTGAATTTAAGTCTGACAGACTGTGGAATAGGCACAGTGATCATTAACTGAGTGTTAGGTTATACTGAACTTAATTTCTATGTAGAAATTTCAGATAAATTAAATGATTTTGTGTTTGATACTTTGATATAGAAATTATGGTTTGAAAATTTTCATAGACAAGACTTCTTCCCAATCCACTTGATGGCAAGTAATAAACTCTACTACATGTCTAGAAGAAATAGCATTTGGTAAGGTATCTATGGATAGAAGTGTATCTGTTCCTCGTGAATGCCAGAGTACCAGGAGGCAAAAGTATAACTTCTCCATTTGCATTGTACAAAGTACATGTAAAATGAGACAAAAATGAAATTATTTGATTACTTAAATTCTTTTAAATATTTATCATTTTAAATTATTTATTATTTAATTATTTTATTTATTTCCACATTTTTTATTTGTTAATAGCCTTATTGAAAGTATTACTTCTAATAGTGTTATTATGTACGACCTCTAATCTAGAGGAGATGGTATAGACTTCTTTCTCCCTGCCCACTGCATTCAACTGTAAACTCTGAAAAGAGCGAAAGAGGTAACCTCTGGCAAAGGAGAATTTCTAAAGTGTGGTAGGAGGAAGGCAGTCAGATTTTGGACCTAGCACTGGAGGAACAATACAGGGATTCTTAATCCACCTCCTCCCAAAGAGAAGAAAGAGATGTTTATCCACATCAGTGTTTCCAAGTGCCCTCATCCCCTGGAAGTAATTTCCTTAACAGCCATTGTGTCCCACCCAAACTAGCCGCCCACAGCAAAGGAGCTCTGATTCCTCTGCAAAATAAAGCAGGTAAGTCTGCAACAGCTTATTCTCTGCTTTGACAACTCAGAAGTGTTTTTTTTTTCATGAAAGACTGGAGATCCTTACACACTTCAGTAATTCCCATGGTTACTTGTCACTTCATTACAAAACACTGTGATGAGTCTTCATTATTTTAGAGATCTGGACTTCTTACAGTTGGCCACATCAGTGTCATCTCAGCATTGTGCACTCCTTGGTTTTGACTTCTCTGCTATTAAAACATTATCTCCAAACATTGTAATGAATGAAATTCACACGGCAGTCTAATCTTACTTTAGAATCCTGTTTAAAACATTCTTGTCAAAACATTCCTGCCATAAAATATTGTTTCTATTAAATAAGTTAATTTAAATCTAAACTGAGACACTATTTTTCATCTAATCCTGTGACAAAGACCCAAAAGATGGATAATGTACTGCTTTGTCCAGGGAATAGGGAGACGGGCAATCACGCACATTTCTCTTGGCAAAGGTAATTGTTAGCAACCACAACAGAGAATAAGATCTCTGTGGTGGTGATCTCTATCAAATTGCAAATACACCTATCTTTGACCCTACAAATGCCATTTCTAAGAGTACTGCAAATAATTCATATACATAAGGACAGGTTGAAAAAACAATGGCAGTATAATCACTCCCAATGGCCCATTTGTTAAAGATTTGGTCCCCACTCCTGGTGCAATCAGATGACAGCAGAACATGTAAGAGGTGGGGCCTAGTGGGAAACTTTAGATTATTGGGGGTGGCCCTCAAAGGCCACTTCCAGGCCCAGGCATTTTCTCTTTGACCCCACCATGAAGAGAACAGTGACATACAGTCTTGTAACAGCCAACAGGGCCAATGACTCCTGGAGTAAGAACTATAAAATTATGAGCAAAATAAACCCATTCTATTTTATAAGTTTATTATTTTGGTATTTGTTACAGCAACAGAAATAACACACAGTACAACATGCAAAGCCTGTTAATATCTGAATAAAAAGGAGTGGGATATGTGTACATATTTCCTTGAGTATGTGTAAATTGTCTTTGAGAAGAATATACCAAAATTACCAATAATAATTATTGCCTATCTATGGTAGCTAAGGGACCAAAGAGGGACACAGGTAAAAAGGTACTTTTTACTTTATTCTATTATATTTTATGAATTTTTAATATGACATTGCTCACAAATTTTAAAAATAAACTGAAGAAATAATTTTCTATTGAAAATATATCATCTTTTACTTCTTCCTTTGGTGCTTGAAATAAAGCAATTCTCTTTGTCTTTTTGTTGTTGCTGTTATTATTATTGTTATTCAAACAGAATCTAGCAAAACATCATGAACTGAGACAAATTAAAAATCTCTAAACTTTTATTCAATAATTTAACAAGCTTCCACAATATATAATATTTGTATGTAAAAATCTCCAACAATATTTTCTGTCTTCTATGCTCATAAAGTAATATTTACTATTGTCACAATAGTGCTTTTCAAATAATATTCTAGTCATTGTTATTGCAGCAGGAAAAACAAGTATTTGCCATTTGTACAGGACATTTTGTTTTCCATTTATTTTATTTTATTTATTTATTTTGAGTACCAGGGATTGAACCCAGGGGCGCTTAAGCAACTGAACCACATCCCCAGCCTGTTCTTTTACATTTTTTTTTTTTTTTTTTTAATTTTGAGACTGGGTCTCTGTAAGTTGCTCAGGAGCTTGCTAAATTGCTGAGGCTGGCTTTCAAATTGTAATCTTCCTGCCTCAGCTTCCCCAGCTGCAGAGATTACAGGGGTATGCCACTGCACCCAGTTGTTTCCATTTTTAAAGAAACCATTTGTACCTAAGATTGATGAAAGCTCCTGGGGTTAAAATGGCTTATGACTTTAAGCACGATGAAAATATTAGATATTTGTCTCTATACTTCGTGTGGTTTGATTTTAAATGCCTGAGCAATGAGGTTAGCATCATACCTATCTTACCTAATGATTAGTTCAAGAAACATACTCTCAGAGCAAGATTTATGTTAACAATAGGGAATCTACATGCATCCCTCACTTAGTTTATAACCCCTGTGCCTAGAATAGTGCCTGGAATATAGCAGGTACACAGTATACTTTTTGCCCTTTATTTTCCTATCAATGAATGGTAATATAACTGCTTGGGAAAAGTACTGAAATATCTGTTTTACCTAAAGTTGAATTAATATAATTTTGCTCACATTTTGGATTGTGTACTTCTACTGACATACAAATTTTGAAGTCTAACTAATAGCAACACAGTAATGTTCTGAAATCATTAACCTAGAAACTTCAAACAAATATAAGAAGCAACTACATATTATGTTTCATTTGACCATCTCAAACATTATTTTTATACTACTGAGTACTTACAGGTCTGACAATGATTTTCTGTTGGTCCCCAGCATCGGCCAGTACAGGACTTATGGCAACGTCCACCTGCACAAGAGGAACAAGGAGGAAAGAAGGTCATGTACGTTTTAATCTTTCACTCCTGGATGAGGAGGGAATGCCCAAGGACATATCCCTGCTCTTTAGGAAAATTTTATGTCATACTAGAGTTGAGGCCTAGTGCTGAAAATGCTCACTTAAGTAGCAAAGCTTGAATGTTCTATCTTTGACTCTACAAATGCCATTTTAAGAATACTGGAAATAATTCATACACATAAAGACAGATTGAAAAAAACAATGGCAGTATAATCACCCCCATGGCCCATTTGTTAAATATTTGGTCCCCACTCCCAGTGCCATCGGATGACAGCAGAACATGTAAAACTGAAGTACAATCTTCTGGTATTCAAAATATTCTCAACATTTTATATGAAAAAGAAACAAATATGTTTGCAATATTTCCCAGAAAGTCAGAAGTAAATTGTTATATTAAATAAATTTCACTTTGTTGAAGATTTTTGTTGTATTGATCTCTTCTACTTGGTATAATTTCAAAAGTTCACAGCTTACTGATTCCAATAGATATTACAAATTAAGTTAATTGTTAAAAAGAAATCAAGTTTATGAAAGCGAGAATATATTCTTTGAAACACATGACAAAACATCAGAATAAAAGGCAAAATCAAGCATTTAAAAGAGCTAATTTTTTTAGAAAACAATTTCAGTTATTCAATACATGTTTTTAAAATTGTTATATGCATTTTTGAATATTGGCCTTTAACTCTTGTGGTGGCTCTTAAGCTAGAGAAATCCCCATAAGGACTCAAAAATAAAAATATTAGCTAGAGGCAATCAGGTAAGATGACTTTGTGTGAAGCTGGTTTCTGAATTTCATTCTAAATTTAGGCACATGGATTATTTTTAGAATGAAAAGTACACATGAAAGTTGATGAAAGACTAGCTGTTCTGTAACAAGCTTCCTATTAAACCTCTCTTAGCTTTCAGGTATTAACTGTGAATTCAAAGAGAACTGTATTATAAAAATTATCAAATAGAGTTTACCAAATATTTCCATCTTCCCTTGATACGTGGTTTTCAAATAATCAGCTTGAACATTCTTACTGCTTAGAGGTTTATTTCCTTTGCAGTGAAAGTGCCTGAGTGATCCCACATGATAATGACCTTCAGAGTTATAATACAGATTCGCCAGACACTTTCTCTGATTGACCTCAGCCTGTCCTGATGGTCTGCCCTCAGAAGGGAACTCTAGTGTTTCCAAATGAATACAATGCTCAGGATCAGTTCAAGTCATCTTTTTAAAAGTATGGGGATCCTTGCTACGGCAGAGTTTATTTAAAGCAGTTCTGTCTGTGATCGCTGCTACTGACATCATCAGTGTATAATATCCTGTCACTCTGCCATCTGTTTATTTAGATCTAAACACATTATAACTACATAATGCAAGCTCATTCTAGTTGACAGGAAAAGGACTCCATCTGGCCTGAACAATATAACTTTAATCAGTGATAATGATAATTATTATTAAAAACTTACTGGAGTTCCTTTGTACCAAGCCAATAAATCTAAATTGATTTATACCAGCGGAAATTAGAAAGGACTGTGAGACAAACTGGGAAGCAAGGAAAACTTTCTGAAGAACCAAACTTTTTTATGAGAAAATATCTAACATTAATATGCCTTCTTAGATGTGTTGAAATCCTTTGACTCTATTCACCAAGTGGTCTGTAAATTGAAGATATCTGAAGCAAAGAATGACCTGTCACTTATCTATGACTTCTTTAATTGTGTTTGAGCTAATAAAATAGTTAGAATTCTGACCATAATGAATAAAGCTATCTGGAAGGAAAATAAAAGAAAGGAAAAACAGAGAAACAGATAAGATACATTAATAAAATATATTTTAATATACTCAATATTTATTTTGGGGGAGGGTTACATTTTTTTGACTTTTTATTTATCAAGTTTCAATTCACCACCCGAATTCAGGCTCCCAGATTTCGCATAAAAAGGCCCATAAATATGTATGATGTTTATGTTTGTTTCTACTAGTTAAAATAAATGCATTTTTTTAAAAAAAGGTATATTTCTTGAAATATTGTTCATGGTTTTTTTGACAACGTATCAGAGTCAAACTCACTATTTGGAAATGAGTGACACAGGATGTACACCCCAAACCTTAACCCTGTCTGCTTGCTGCTGTGAGATTTTCTTCAGTAGTTTTTATTTCTCATCTGTATTTCAACAAAAATATTATTATTGGTATATAAGGAGGCCTTCAGCAACTGCTTCTCTTCCTGGATTTTACAGAATCTTCTATTCTTTCCATATACTTTGGGAACTAAAAGAAGATAGATGTTCCCTTAGTCTTCACATTTCAGAATCCATTCCTACCAATACATTGGAGGGGTTTGACTGGCATGTGCTTCTATAAACTGTTGCTTGGCCTGCCCTACCTTGATTTAACTGTCTTCCTGGAGCTTTGACTCTTTTGGAATCTGCCCAGGGACTCAGTTCAGCTTTGATCTTCAAAATGGTACAATATATGATACATTGGTATCAATACTATTTTCATCAAGTTGTTGTAATAACTAAATATCACAATATCTGAACATAAATCTCTGTCTAGGGATTGTCAGAATTCACTCTTTACTACACTTTCAGACCTGCCATCTTAATTTGATACTTGTGGATAATTGGCCAGTAAAGTCCTATAAAATATTATAGTTAAATGACTTAAATTTTTTTTAGCCCTTTGTTTTCATCATTTCTACTGCACAAAAGTATCAAAGAGATGATGGGGTAGAAAAACTTACTGTTTCCATAGTAATTATCTGTCTAGCATAGGAACAACAACAATTTCTACTAGCTTTGCTTCCATCTATCTCCTCATAATTACTCCGTAAGCACCTTCATTGTTCTGTGTATTAGGTATGATGTTAAATATTATAGATAAAACATTGAGCTGAAACAGACATGGCTACCATCCTCAGAGAGTTTAGAATTAATTCCACATCATACTGAAAGGGAAAATTTTTGACTATTATGTATTTCATGTTTATTATCCATGGGACTAAGAGGAAAAGCCAGCAAATCTACATTTTAACAGCATTCTAACTCAGGTAAGAAGAGGTAGACAAGGCCACTTTCAGTGAGATCATCCCAATGTAATGCCTAGGGCTTAGAATTCGGCTATATTCTTAGCATAATGATTTATCTTTGCATCATCTAGAATGAGATTGTCCCTGAGTATTTCAGTGAAGAGGACAGTTATGGAGTCTGAAATGTCCCTTATTTGTCTCCTAACAGATATAAATGTCCAATTTCTTTTTTTTTTTTTTGTATTTTTTTTATTTTTACTGAACCCAGATATACTTTACCACTGAGCTACATCCCCAGCCCCCCTCTTTGTTTTCTTTTTTATTTTGAGACAAGGTCTCACTAAGTTGCTTAGGGCTTCACTAAGTTGCTTAGGGCCTCACTAAATTGTTGAGGCTGGCTTTAAACTTGCAACTCTCTTGCCTCAGCCTCCTGAGCCCCTGGGATTATAGGCGTGTGCCACCACACTGGCTCAATGGTCCAATTTCTTATTGAGGGCATTTTTCCTTCCCTCTGTATACAGTATTTTTTTTTTCTCTCTCTCTTTTTCTTTTTTTTTTTTTTTGGAGGAGGGGTGGTACCAGTGATTGAACTCAGGGGCACTTGACCACTGAGCTACATCCCCAGCCCTATTTTGTATTTTATTTAGAGACAGGGGCTCACTGAATTGCTTTGTGCCTCACTTTTGCTGAGGTGGCTTTGTGTGATCCTCTTGCCTCAGCCTCATGATTCTCTGGAATTATAAGTATGCACCCCTGCACCCAGCCAGTATTTTCAGTAGCCCTGATTTCATGAGGAAAATAGACCACACATGTCAAGATAATTTTAGTGTAAATTAGTTTTATGAACTACTTATCAAGGCATAGGTTTTATAAATAAGGACTAAAAAGAGAAAAACTCAACAGATATTAGAGTATAAAAATGGGAACAGTATTTTGGGACACTGCCACTGCTATACAAATCTGTCCATTTCACTGTCTCAACCTGTTATATGACTATTTTCCATTGTTTATTTAAATAATTCTCTTAAAGCTATGTGAAAAAAATATGCCACTTTTTTCACTTAAAAATGAAGAATCTGACATGTCCATATGGCTTAGTGAGAGCAGAGCTATTTAAATTAATATCTGCTGTCATTATGATTGAATCAAAGAGATAAAATTTTTTAAAAAATAGAATTTTAAACCAATATTTCTGTTTTGGTAGTAACTATATTAATGTTTAAAATAAATGCTGATGATTCCATACTAGCATTATTTCAATACACAAGCAATCCCCCTCTGCTTTGACAATTATTCATCTTTTATTCTTGTCCAGAAGACGTTACTAAAAATGTAGCTTTTGCATTCCTTTTTAGAAAGTAGAGTCCTTGAGCTGCTTTTATGTTTTCAAGAATCATAAATTCATGCTAGAAGTTTTGCTTGTTTGTGTGACCGCCTGACAGGAGAGATGAGATTCAATATCTACCTCTGTAATGCTTTCTGCAAGTAATATGCCAAAAGAGTTGAAGAGTTACAAAATATGAAGTCACTGGCAACTGTAAAAGATTATATCCTAACCCTGCCTCTAGCTAGAGGCAGTGCAGTCATATCCCTGGATTCTTCTTACAATCCTTTTAAAAACAGGCACTGTTGACCTCTTAAAATGGCTTTTATTGGGGAAAGAAGTGAGAAAATAATATCTTTTTCATGAGCATATAATTCAAAAGAGGGAATGGAACATTTACAGAAGGCCGACATTAAACTAGTCCAGGGGGGATAAAAAAATGAGGAAGTTGGTGTCCTGCCCTCTTAGAGCTTTCAGGACACAGGAAATAGAGAAACAAGAAGGTAATATTCATAAATCATAAAATGTAGTAGAACATAGGTATGCATAAAGTGGAGAGGAAGGAATTGAGAAAGACTCTGCAGATATGATGCCCACTTTGTCCA